ATTTATTATACTCCATTATCAAAGTTCCTTATATATTGGAGGCAATTTTTTTTTTTTAAATAAATATATATTGCATTAAATATTGACCAACAAAAACAAATCATTATGATTTTCTTTTTATACATTATCAATCATGCATGTCTAGCATTAAATTTAGCTAAATGCAACTTGATAAAAATAAATAAAAAAAAATAAATTTAGCTAAAATTAGCTTAACTATAATTTTTCTAACTTGACTTTCACAAATTAAAATTCATCTTAAATACATCATGCATTTGTAAGTGTTTACCTATCCCTACCCCTTAAAACGGGGGATTAAAGTTTTTAAAAACCTCCACTAGAATTTTTTATATTATTAATTATTGTAACAAATCCCTAACTTTAAACTAGTTCACCAGAGAATATCCAAATTATTTAGTTGGATCAATTTTTTTTGGGATTTTTGAAGAAGGGAATCAGATATTGATGATGGATTATAATTATATAAACGGAATTTATGGAGATCTTGATTTGATCATGGATTTTTTTTTTTTTTTTAATGTTGATGATTTGTTAGCTACCATACTACCATCATGGATGATGTCAACTAAAGTGTTCACCTCTCCAAATAAATAGAACGAGGTCTTCTTAATGAGCGTTAAATAGTGTTGGATGTTGTTTGAGATAGTAAACTGAGTGGAAACACTCTCATAGTCTCATGAATGACACATACTTTGACATGACATGAATTTTCAACTTAACATTTCGTCTCATCTTATTTAGTAAACATAATTTTCTTATGAAATCGTCTCTATTTTTTTTAAAAAAAAATCTTATTATTTCTTTCATCTGGGCACACTATCGACTATACATAATTACAAAAAAGTTATGCATTACCCCCTTTGTCCTTGTCTGTTTGTCCTATTTGACTTTTCACAGCTTTTAAAGCACATCATATACACGTAAAAATTATAAAAACTAAATATTCTTAATGTAGACATTGAAATAATGAAATAAATTTAACAAGATTCCACGTAACTATTATTTCTTATAGACTAATAAGAATTTCGAATTTATAGCCAAAGTTTCTAAAATTTGACTTCGAAAATAGAATAGGGCAAACAAGTAGGAATGAAGGGAATACATACTAAAATAAAAATCATCAATTCATCATCAATTACGCAAAGTGTGTCAACTAAATACGGATGTAGAGAATATTATTTTGAAATATGTACTTTTATTTAAATCGTTGTTGTTAGGCTCAATAACAAAGTACAAACCAAAACACTTTATTTTATATTATACGGAGTAGTATGTTATTCTTTTTAAACACCAATTTATTAAGCATTTTATTTAAACATGAACCTAATACGCTATTAATATAATCTCCCACCCTTTCCACAATTCCACAACCCAAAAGTGGACAAACTTGCCCCCCACTATCCTCCCTCCTTTTCTACTCAACCTTCATTGTTCTATAAATTAGCACGTCCAACTTTAACGTCCTTCCTTCACACATTTCATGTAACAAACACTACATAAAGTGTTCAATTTTATGTGTAGAAAATCAATTTAAGCAAAAAAAAAATGGGGAGAGATTTATGCGTAGGACATGGGTTTTGTGCAAAATTAAACAAAAAATGGGAGGAGTTTGAGAAATTTATCAATGAAGCTGTTTTAAACAGTGTAATTGGTAGGTTTTTCAAGTTAGATGCTAGAAAAAGTAGTTTTACAAAGGAGTTACGTGCTGCCACTACCACTTTCTTAACCATGTTGTACATTATTACTATAAATGCTAGTGTTATTGCTGATTCTGGCGGCCGATGTTCGGCCGCTGATTGCTCGCCCTCGGGTGGGGCTGAATGTGTCCTAAAGCCTAACCCGGGGTACGAGAACTGTTTAGCTCAGCTCAAGAAAGACCTTGTTGTGGGTACCGCGTTATCATCCTTTGTGGGGTCCGTTGCTATGGGCTTGTTTGCTAATCTCCCGTTTGGGTTGGCCCCTGGGATGGGGTCCAATGCTTACTTGGCTTACAACTTGGTGGGCTTTCATGGGAGTGGGCCCATGTCGTACGAGACTGCCCTTGCTGTGGTGCTTGTTGAAGGAGCCGCTTTCCTTCTTATCGCCATGCTCGGGCTTCGGGCCAAGTTAGCTCGGTTGATTCCTACACCGGTCCGGCTCGCTTGTGCTGGAGGGATTGGGCTTTTTATTGCATTCACTGGGCTACAATCTCATCTTGGATTGGGCCTAGTGGGCCCTGATTCGTCCACATTACTGACCCTCACGGGTTGTCGGATCACCGACCCAACTACGGGCCAGTGTGTTGAAGGGACGATGCAAAGCCCAACTTTATGGTTGGGCATAGTGGGCCTCTTGATAATATCATATGGGCTTATGAAGAACATCAAAGGTAGCATGATATATGGTATACTTTTTGTTACATTTATATCATGGTTTAGAGGTACAAGCGTTACATATTTTCCGTACACAACAATTGGTGATGAAAGCTATGGTTATTTCAAAAAAGTGGTGGATTTTCATATGATAAAATCCACAGCAGGTGCAATTAGTTTTGCGCATTTTAATACTAGTCATGTTTGGGTAGCTTTGATAACATTATTATACGTAGATGTGTTAGCTACAACAGGTACATTATACACTATGGCCGAAGTTGGTAATTTTATAGACGATAAAGGTAGTTTTGAAGGTGAATATGCCGCGTACATGGTTGATGCAAGTTCCACCATAGTAGGGTCTGCCCTAGGCGTTTCCCCTATCGCCACGTTCATCGAATCAACAGCCGGGATCCAAGAAGGAGGCCGAACAGGATTAACTGCGGTAATAATTGGACTTTACTTTCTATTGTCATTGTTTTTTACCCCACTAATGACTAGTGTACCACCATGGGCTATAGGGCCAGGACTAATAGTAGTTGGAGTTTTGATGATGAAAGTGGTAAAAGAGATTGATTGGAGTAACATGAAAGAAGCAATGCCAGCCTTTATTACCATAATACTTATGCCCTTAACTTACTCCATATCCAATGGGATAATTGGAGGAATTGGATTTTATGTCGCGCTAAGTTTGTATGATTATGGTGTAACGATGATCAAGTGGTTGATTAAGATGAGAAGGACCGTGATTAGGGAAGAAAATCAAGTAATCGCGGTTGCTGTGCCTGATAATGAAGTTTGATGTTGAAGTTATAAGCATGTTTAGAAGGTTAATTTGTAGTGTATTAAATTAGCTTAATTAGTGAGAATGTAGTACATGTATGCACAAGGTTCAATGAGAGCTTCACATCCATGTAGTGAGTAAAATATCAGACATATATAGGTTTTGTAATCTTTCAAGGGTTCTTGTGCATGCATTATGGATATAAATATAAAATCTAAGTTTGGCCATTTATTTGGATTGTGGTTTTACACATTTTTTCCACTTGATTAAGAAGATCATTTCATAATTTCTATTTAAGAAAAAAAAAAGGGATCAATTCATAATTTTATGGGGATCACATCAAACCTACTAGACCTAAAGTTGGACAATGTACAATAATAAAATTATTAGTGCACAAAATAAATATTGATAAGGAGTTCTGCCTCCTATGCTCACAAGCCACCACCCAAGTTCAATTGTAATATTGTATTATATTTGAGAAGGGGAGTAACTGACTAAGGTTCGTAAGAACTATTGATAAATTGAAATAATGATCATTTTGAGATAGGATAAAATAAGTCAGGCGCATAGGTACCTATTTATTAAGAAAAAAAGAAAATACAACAATTCTTGAGAAATTGAAATGCAACGTTTTTAATAAATACAAGTCAAATTAGAAACACAATTTGAGTCCAAACTCCAAAGTTCTCACTTCTTCAAGCTTTTGTTAAACACAATTAATTCATATACCAATTGCAATATATTATACCATACACCTGAACTCATGTAATTGAGTACATGAAAGCGTAGAAAAATAAGACAATACGATCATTTAGTGCATATAATTTGTGTAGACAAGGTGTAATAATCTATACGTAATGTGTACATAATGTATTTTAGCAATTTAAGAGCTTACACCAACATATATACATTTGTGCACACATGCGATGTCATAAATTCACCATAAGTTCGCACCCTTAAAGAATGAAAAAACGGCCAAAATTATGGCAGCTTCACACTTTGACAGGAAGTTGGATTTTTAATTTGATTGTTAGTTGAGAACTTACTTAATATGATAAGTTGCTCGTATAAGTTAACTCATCCATCACGATTCATAAAGCAACTCTTCTTGGTGACATTAACATTTTACACTAATGCTCCAAATTTCTTTCGTGTAAAGCATCAACTTTGAATTGGTAAGAAATAAATTGCATAATTTTGATTTTTTGTTTCATTCTATCTTTATCTAAAAATTTAACTTTATGATTTGGGTAAGAGTATATTGTGAATAATGCCAAGGAAAATGTAGAGGAACAATATACATTAATTAAGAACAATTGTGTTGGATATGGTAAATACAAGTATAATATTGATATGGTAAAATCGTCATCCCTTGATTCTTCATGTGCAAAATAAAGCTTGTGATTTTGGATTTGAATTTTGTGCTAATACATACAAATAACACTTGCTCATTCTTTTGTGGAATCTTATATTATTAATCACATTTGAACGGATATAATCATATATTTATTTTAAATATGAAACTAAAAAAATCACGTATTCAAATGCACATAATAGACCGCACTAAAATTATGTTGCATAAATAAACAAATGAATTTCTTAGATGTACAATTTGACAAATAAAACTCATCATAGGCCATCTTTTACTAAAAACGCAAAAATCCAATGTGAATATACAATTTAGAATTACTCCATTACTCTTCATTCCTCCAAACAACCAAAACATGTGTAAGTCTGTTAAGGACGAATTTTTATATCATTTTAGTGACATGAAAAAAGTAGTACACAGGACCAAAAAAAATGTATTTTATATAGTTAAGCTATAAATCCTAGATTGATTTTTTTTTTTTTTTTTTTGGTGTTTCTAACTGGTTCATCTTTTGCATTGGGCTAATTCAGATTCAGAGGACTCAATTTTGTCGTGATTATATTGATTAATTATCAATGTAATCTTAGTTACACTTTGTAAGAAAGTTCACAGCTAGAATAGTCCAAAAGTGCTTCCTCTTTGAAAGGAAAAAAGGTGATGTTTTCTGCCAGTTTCTCAATGCGCAAGCTGTATTATAATGCAAGATAGTTTCACAAAAAAAAAAATCTACCCATAATCCTATTAATTTCTTTCTCATGCATTAAGATATAAAACCAAATACGTTATTCTTATTATGGTAACAAATCATCTCTAACTTATAATTAACTCACTAGAGGCTATCTTTGATAAGATAGCTTAGATGCTCCAACTCATTCATCATCAAAAATAAAAATGCTCATTTCCATTCAAATTAAAAGTCCTTAAACATTATAAAGTTCCATCACCAAAATTTAACAATAGATTATTTAGTATATATGGAGATGGTTATAGAACTTTGTGTTAGATCATCAAAAGCATGGAACAACATTGAAAAGGGCTTGAATGACAACATCTCAAGTAGTAGAGTGGGCAAATACTTCAAATTAGATGAGAAGAAGAGTTGTTTCACAAGGGAGTTTAGGGCTGCTACCACCACTTTCCTTGCCATGGCTTACGTTATCACCGTCGTCTCCACCCTCCTTAGCGACACCGGTGGTACGTGCCCAACACCGAGCCCGAGCCCAAGCCCAGAGGAGCCCAACATGGAGTATGACAACTGCATTTCAGTGGTCAAGAGTGATTTGATTGTAGCCATTTCATTGGCTGGAATGATGGGCTGCTTTGCTATGGGCCTTTTAGCCAACCTTCCCTTTGGGCTAGCCCCGGGAACCGGTCAAACCATGTACATGGCCTACAACTTGGTGGGTATCCATGGAAGTGGGCCCATGTCATATTCAAATGCATTGGGCTTGTGGATAGTGGAGGCCTTATTCTTCATCGCGATATCAGCAACCGGGCTTCGGGCCAAGCTAGGTAGACTAATCCCACCTTCGGTCGGCCTTGCTTGTGCCGTTGGGATGGGGTTGTTCATGGCTTTTATTGGGCTACAATCCCAACAAGGTGTGGGCCTTATTGGGCCTGACCCAAGTTCAATCGTTCGACTACTCTCGCTAAAAAGCCTAACTTTGTGGTTGGGCATAGTGGGCTTTTTGATTATGAGCTATGGACAAGCCCATGAGATTAAAGGCAGTATGATATATGGAATTTTATTTGTGACTACAATCTCATGGTTTAGGGGCACCTCAGTTACATACTTCCCTAAAACAGTTGATGGTGAAGCAAGATACAAATATTTCAAAAAAGTGGTAGATTTCCACAAAATCAAAAAAATAGCTGGTAAAATCAGTTTAACTGATTTTTCCAAAGGAACAACTTGGGTGTCACTTTTCACTTTGCTATACATTGACATTCTTGCAACCACTGGGACATTGTACACCTTAGCTGAAATAGGAGGGTTCATAAACGATAAAGGATCGTTCGAGAACGAATACATAGCTTACTTGATCGATGCATCAGTGACAGTCGTGGGCTCTGCTCTTGGTGTCCCTCCAGTGGCAACATACACAGAGTCATCGACGGGTATGAAGGAAGGTGGACGCACAGGGCTAACAGCGGTGATCATAGGTATATTTTTCTTCTTGGCCTTATTTTTCGCGCCATTGTTAATTAATGTGCCTCCATGGGCAATAGGCCCTTCTTTGGTTATGATTGGGGTGATCATGATGAGGGTGGCAAAAGACATAGAATGGGGCAACTTTAAAGAGGCAATACCGGCTTTTATAACAATAATTCTCATGCCATTTACTAATTCTATACCCAATGGTATAATTGGAGGATTGGGAGTTTATGTTGTTCTTCACTTTCATGAATGGATTGCTTGGTTGGTTAAATCAGTCCTGAAGCCCAGAAAGAAGAAAGAAATTGAAAGTGATGCAATTGGAGCTGATAATACGAGTGAAATCCCTTAACAAATCTTTTAACTTTGCAATCCATAGTTTGTACTCGTCCTTAATTTTGTTTGAACTGCATTTGTACTCTTGTTTAAGTTATAAATGAAGTGAGATGTTTTTGCACTAACAAGTCCAATCAGAGCTCCGAGCTCGTGTAGAATGGTTTATAGGTTTTTGTTAAATCTTTGATGAACCTACACACATGCTTACGCTGAAGAAGAATCTGACCACAAACGAATCTATCCCAGAATCAATCAGCAGTAAGCGAATATGTCATTTAACAGTCTTTTCCTTACTTATAATAGACCGATGCTGATTGCTATTTGCAGTTCATTTCCAGATCCGCGAATACCTTTAATATTCGATACACAAATAAGGTGATGAATATAAACACTATTTCATTCACAAAAGTAAACCCAGATTTTCAACTACAGCGATGTACTAGCATTTAGCCGGGAAACACCATTAGCTCAAAAAGAAAACCAGTAGCTTTCTACAAAAACCATATACAACAGCAAGAGTACCTTGTAATCTGAATAAACCGACAAATCAGGTTCAGAGTTTAATTCTTGGGTAACTGATGCTCCTATGGACAGCGAATGCGATTGAGAATTAGGAGTTGGAATGCACCTTTGTCGATCTTTTCAGCTACAAAAGCACACTCATCACCGGTACAAATCTTGTTGGCCTTTCTGAATTCCTTCCATCCACTAGCCAGAACAAAGAGGTTGTTTCTCTTATGGTATAACACAGGCCAATCTCTGCCAGCAGGATCTTTAAGAGAAATCAGCTTGTGTTTCTTATCTAATCTTTGCCTCCACTTTATAGGTAATGCCTCAGGCAACTCCTGCAACAGAACAATAAGAACGGCTCAGTGTACTGCATTGCAGGGGATACCAGAGGTGAAATTGGTCAGGACAAATGAAAAAAATAAAGGAAGAATCAGCACTTGCATTCTTCTAATTGGACATGTAAGACTACACCAAAGTTTGCTTTGCTGAAAGAAATTATTACCAAATGTAGAGGGGCGCCAATAACAAAAGTTCCATCCGAAGCTAAAATAACAAGAACTTGCACAAAAAAGAATTTAATCAGAATAGTGCTTAACATAGACTGACCACCATGGTATAAAATATAGCCTGCTCATTTCAGCCTGGATCACCAGCTCAGGAAAAATTTAGAGCTAGAAAAGTTTGATAAAACCCGAGATGATCAGGGCTAAGACAAAAGTGACATGCCAGTAGCAGCTGTCCAAAACAGGCCTGTCAAGCTGGGCTGTGCAACAGTTATTCAGGACTAACTCAGTCTAGACTACAGCAGTCACTCTAAAAGGTTTGAGGAACATCACAATTCCAAAATGCAGCCATTTGAAAATGTTACTTAGCTCTGCGTCCTAATCTAATACTATAGTCTACAACTCATCTTATAATCTAGAGCTGATTAGTCTAAAATAAACTATTGTCCAAAATTCATGTTTTTATCATATTATGGTAATGCCCTATTCAAAGCAAGGTGCAAACAATCTTAAGGTGTAACCGTATAAGGCTGCCACTAGTGTTTGGCTAATCCTCTCTCAAAGGATCAATAGTGACAATGTAAGATAGCAGCAATAACAATAGTTCAAATAACATCCATAATCTGAAGCAATGGTAATTGAGACAAAGGTTATCAGAATATCCAACATACAAGGAAAGATTCATTGTCTGGTGGTACGGAGCATATAATCCTGCCGGCAGGTACGGATAGAGAATCGCAGAAATCAACCGGTTCTGCCTTCACATCTTTACAAACCTCAACATCATCTTCCATTGGATTGTTCACACCAAGACCACTAAAGTTACTCTTGGCCTCCCTATTGAAAGACAAGCTAGCAACAAATGAGGTACCTGCCAACAAATTAGCAGAAAGGTCTTGCTTAAACTCTCTTGGTTCTTGCTTAACTACTCTCACCGTCCCTCCTGATCAGGAAAAAAAAAAGTCAATTAACTAGTATTTCAAAAGATGTTCAATGTTAAATACATGTCACACCAGGGTAACACAACATGGCCACATAGCCTACATTTACCTTCCCTGCCACAAACAGAATTAGAACCTGGTGACTGACTAAAACCAGATGTGGTTGAAGGCTCACAAGTCTGTTTTTTACCAAATAAGTTTGGGGGTGGCATCAAATTTGAAGGCAGAATTGGAGAAACACTGGGAACTGGACTGTGTTTAGAACTTGACAAGTTTGCTTCATCATTATCTGACAGAGACAAAAGAAACAAATTGAGGAAAATTCAGAAATGCAAATCGCCAAATAAAGTCCAAGGTCACTCACTTGAAGGTACCGCAGTCTTTCCTTGAGTTAAAGGGAACTTCTTCGTATCAATTGAGGTACTCCGGGTTCGAGCTTCATCAAACGCACCTGACACTTGAGAACACGTGTTCCCTTGAAGGTTACCCTTATGATCATCTACTTTTTTGTCTATCATCTTGGAGGTAGACGGGTTAGATATATCGTCTCTATTACCATTCATGGAGAAACTAGGTTCTATGTTAAATGACTGGAAAGGAGGCTGATCAGATAGATGTTCTCCAAGGTCTTCTCTGGCGTCTAATTTCTTACTGGTCATGTTGGAGATGGACAGATCAAAACGATTGTCATCATCACCTTTCCTAGAAGAACTTGGATTCATGCCGGGCGACTCGAAGGCAGACAGATCAAATAGATGTTCTCTATTAGCCTCTTTAGCAGTATTTGTTTCTCTGTCATTCAAGAAGCATGGCTCCACTAAAATATCTACATCTGGAACCAGCTGGGGCTTTTCAATGACATTTACCTGTCTTTGAACATTTTCTTCCATCACAGGAGAATCATTTAGATTATTCACATCATCCTGACTCCAACTGATGTCATCCATGTAAGTGTTTGATCGAGGAACAGCATAGGTATTGAAACAGTTATTTTTTTGTGATGGTTCTCGTTCCTTATACGATGGATCAGAAGGAGAATCCCCGGTAGTTTTTGGTCTCTTGTTCTGATAGCTCTTTACACTAGGAAATGATTTTTCGTATCCACTTTTGCCATAAATTTCAACGATAAAATGTGATCCTGTGGGACATAACGAAATACCACAAAATCACCTAGAACAAGGCCATGATCCAGAGAAAACTTACGCCATCCCTCTTGGAAGGCAACAGAACCTTGTACATCAGACAGGACCACTTCCCATTTCTGGCCAGTTAAATCCTCGAGACATGCCTTTTTTCCTACTGATGAAAAAATAATTCTGCTAAATTTGGGAGGTACAAACTGCAAAACAAATAGACTATTAAAAAGAGCAGTTGTCTATACAATAGCTCATTAAACAACTGAAATCCATGGGGAATAGTTTCGATTTTGCTACAGAAAAAAATTCAATCAGAAGTAGGGCAATATGGGTCTCTGAAAACACACCATTTCTTCAGAAAACTTCTTGCCATACATGACTTTAAAAAAACGAGGGAATCATTGGAGAACGATCATTCCGTCCTTGATGGATCAGCAAACAGTTCATGAAGCACTCATCACAAGACTCAACCTCTCGAGCCATTTGGCACATTTGCAAAGACCTAACTGGAAAAGACATTGTCGCCCATTAGCAAGTAATAATATGTAAATATGCTGTCAATCAGCAATATAACTTTATTGAAGATGATTACATCTATGTAGAAAGGTTATGAAAAAGAAGAAAGGCCAATCTCAGAAATTTTATATTGCAGATAATATTCTTCAGATACTATCCAATAAAGTGCATGGTAATCACATTAAGATTAAAGATACAATTACTACAGTTATTTTCAGCATGACAAGGTAAGATTTTTTTCCTGTTCTGTGACCTTTGACATTCTAAAGCATGAGAAATGGCTTTAAGCCTTTAAGTTGTCACTTGGCAAAAGCAAAAACTAAAAGTAGCCAATGTTATAAATGCATGGAGAATATGGCAAAAGGTTTAATTCCAGCATATGAACAATGCCATGACCAGAAGCAATTGAAAATTAGTACATTCAAAGAGTGGCATAATGTTCTAGGCATGCTTATTGGCTATTGCATCGGTTAGGTCCTTACATCTGACTAATCTGAATAAGACTAACAACTAAGTCGAAATAACATCCAAAATTAAACTAAGCTTCCCAACCCCAACAGTAAACTGTCGGGATCACATTTTCAAATTGAACCCTCAACTCCTAGAGAAAAATGAGAATACTGAAATCATAAAACCAACAAAAATAACTATAATTTCAATAAATGGCATGAGCATCGAAATCTATATCTTAATCATTCTTAAACGGATGTGGTTAGGCAAGCATATATAATATTCAAATAAGTTGTGAAAAAACTACCCATATACCTCAACCATCTACATTATAAAGACTCAAGTGCACCCAAAATCATCTACCCCTCTATAATCGTCGATACAATTTCAAGTCACCCTACATATTTTCATAATATACCCAACATAACTCAATAAGGACACATTCAATGGTCATTAAAATAACATAGCACCCTCAATAAATAATTTCTTGTTTCGTCTCATACTTAAATATACAAGCCATAATAACATATATGCATAGATACAATTGAAGAAAGGAGAGTAGAAGTTTACAAACTAGGATCTAATGCACCCAAACCATGAATCGGTCGAGTAAATTTATAAAACCATCAAATTTATAATTAAGAATCAAAAGAACCTACAATTCCTACAAACATAGTTCATTCTACTAACATACCCAAAATGCAAGTTTATAAATTAAAAATAAAAAGGATCAAATTACAGAGTTTTCAGAACTAAAACGAAGGCCAGAACCCTTAAAACAGTGTTTGGTTCAGAAAAAAAAAATGCAACAGAATTTCCCTGAAGATGGAAAAGTTATTAACAAGAATTTTACTCCAAAAAAAAAAAAAAAAAACCGTCCAAAATTTTCTCTTTTCTTTCAACTCTCACACTCCTAGAATCATGTATCTCACATTCTCACCCTTCTAGTCAAATTGTGAGCAGAATTTTTTTTTTTTTTTTTTTTTTGAAATGGTTTACAACTAAAACATTAATAACAGATAAGCAAAAAACATATATAAAAAAAAAAAAAAAAAAAAAAAGCACAATTCAAACAGAAATTAACCAAATTAAATAAGAAAAAAAAAAACTACAAAGATGAAAGAAAATAAGGGGGAGATGTAGTACCTTAAGTTAGAGAGAGAAAGAAGTGTTTAGCAGGAGAATTGCATTTTTGAACAGGAAAATATAATTTCTGGTTATAGAGTTGTGTAAATTTGGGGGGGAATTAAATGATGGTGCCACAAACAAAGCTCAGATATTTCAGAGTTTAGTCTTTTTAACCTGTCAACTTCACAACTCAGTTGAACTCAAAGCACTAGCACATGCACATCAAACTCCTAAACTACAATTGGGTGTAAAAACCGGACTACTGTCAGGGGCGGACCCACCTTTAGTCATAGTGGGTCCGGTGACACAGTATTTTTTTTTAAAAAAAAATATCAAAGAGACCCCTTATTATAGATAGGTGGTCTCTTTGATGCTGCTATTGGTAACAACAAACAATATCAAAGAGACCACTTATTAAGATAGGTCTCTTTGATGCTGCTATTGCATTTCGCAATTTTTTTGCGCTACTTTCTTTTTTCATTAAAGAGACCAGTTATATTTAATAACTGGTCTCTTAAGTTATCTCACTTTTTTTATATAATTTTTTTCCCTTTTTATATCTTATATTTGTACAACCAATTTTAATATTTCCCCATAAAGCTTATCAATTAACTAAAAAATCATAAAGTTAATTCAATATAATAATTTTATTGTACCATTTGTTTATAACATGTTATTTGTAGTATTTTCGACTTGTAAAATTGAATTCTTAAGTACTGTATTTGGTTGTGGTATGAATTTTTGTGTCCTATTTTTGGATTGAAATCAATTTGGTGAAATATATATATATATATATATATATATATATAATTTCTGGATTGAAATTAATTATGAACAAGACATGGAAAAAAAAAACTGTACTTTCACAAATGATCAATAATTGATGGTGACACACTATCTCGGAAATTCTGGATCCGCCACTGACTACTGTACAAGCTTTTCGAGTTGATAAAAGTATAAAAAAATGTTAATCCCATAGCAAATTTGTAATGAAGGGTTTTAGTCAACGACTTTTCATTATGCATGAGTCCCTTATTTGGGCAAAAAAAATTACTACCTTGTTTTTATTGAACTTTCTTTTATCATGCTTGTTAATACATTATTTTACAATTAATAATGTCTTTAATTTTTGACATTGTAAAATTGTAAAAAGTGAATATTAATAAAATATATATTGAGACGATTCAAAAAAGATCTCATTTGACTATATTTTATCGTAGCTATACATAAAAAAAAAAAAAAAATATATACTCAGCACGGAGTATGAAATGTCATGTGAATCGAAAAAAAAATTTGTTAATTTAATTACAAATTCATTACGGAGTGTTTTTTTCCCTACTCATATTAGTTTTGCCTAAGGATAAAACAGTAATTTGAATATCCGCATTGTAAGAAATGGAATAGTAGATGTGTGCATGTGTCATTTGTACTCTTCATTAGTCGTAAATAGGTAGCTGATTGAGTTGAGCAACTCGAACTCGACTCGGTCAACGCTCGGTCAAAACTCGACTTGAGTTAGCTCGACTCGAATTTGACCCTACTCGGCGAGATAGTAACGAGCATGAGTTGAGCAAGCTCTAACTCGACTCGTTAAGCTCGTGAGCAACTCGATAATATATTTTATAAATATAAAATTTACAAACAAAGTTACCATGTTTAAATAAATTAGACACTTAATAAATGTTAATTTATATTATCAAAAACAAAGAGTAAATTTATAATAATAGATACTTCCCCTGTTCTTTTTTTTATTGCATTATAAGAGATTTCATGCTTGCCAATGCATTACTCTAGCTATTAATATTTTTAATTATACCTTTGTAAAAATTAAAAAAAATTGATATTTAGAAAATAGATTTCGATATGAATCTAACTAGATCCCACATGACTATATTTTTCTTTACGAATAAATCACAAAAGATGGGTAAAGAAAATTATGTGAATAGTGTAAAAGTCAAAGTGATGCGATAAAAAAAGAACCGAAGAAGTATAAAAAAAAAGAAAACAATATAAGTAAAAAAAAAAGCATATAATTATAGAAGGGCCAAAACTTTAACGAACAAATCGTGAGCTATTCGACTCGACTCGAAACTTTAACGAGCACAAGTCGAGCAGGTTTTATTAGCTCGGAATTTTAGCGAGCACGAGTTGAGCATGCACATGTTAAAAGTTTTCGAGTTGAGTCGAGCACCCCTCAGCTCGTGATCGACTCGCTCGATAAGCACACTAGTTGTAAATTTTTTTTGAAGGTCACGTTAATTCTAAATTTACAACTTCTATGCTAGAATGGTCAAAAAAAACATGTGTGTATTACCCCCATCCAACATTTGATTCAAATCAGACTATAGAGTTACTTCCTTCGTTTTTTTAAGTGCCCCATAATGATATTTCACGTAAACTTTAACTAGTAATATATTTAATTATCATCAACTATAACTTATGACAATTGAATATTAATAATCTATTCATTAAGACGATTCCGATAAATATCCACAAGATTACATTTTTTCTTATGTATAGTTCACAAACATTGGTCTAAGTATGTTTAATGAATATTGCCAAAATCTCTAATGGGACACTTAAAAATAATGGAGGAAGTATAAGAAAATACTAGTAATCCTCTTCTTTTGAATGTTTTAAGGTGATGTTTGGTAAGAAAATATGAAAAATGAAAAATCTGAGAAATTGTAATTTAATAGAGTTGATTAGTTAATAGAAAATTGGTGGAATGAGAGAAGTAGAAAACATGTACCATAAATTTTCACTTCCCTCAAAATTTTAAAACTTAATTACCAAATAGAAATTTTTATGAAAAGTTAATTCCTATAAATTCCCAAGTCATGTGAATTTCTAATTCCTGTATACACCAAACACCAAAGTAAAAGGTGTAGACTTATTTTAAGAAAATAAAAAGCAATTTTTTGTTTTGTATTTTTTTTTTTTCATACGGAGTACTAAACGCTATACTTCCTCTCTTTATAAGGGTTCAAACATTTACGAATAGAGAGAGTAATTAATACTGGAATACAAGATGGTTATAATTTCTTGGCCGCGCTATTCTTGTGTGATGACAAGTTCAAAGTAATTCATAAAACTCGTGATTGGAAAATAATTCATGAAAATTTTTGTCATTAACAAAACAATTTGCATGGTATGCTCAATGCAGTTAAAGCATAAGGGGATTTGTACACACACATCAAATTGAGCTTGTCATACAAATAAATTGTATACCAAGATTAAAATTTACATGAATTCGTTCACAAAACCACATCGTATGTTCGAATTTACTTGAAAAAAGCAGTAGACTCAACCATTACAGAGTAATATCAGTCTACCCACCATGATCTGCTCTTTTTATATGTGCAACAGCGCAGCAAATGAAGTTAATTCAGTTGGTTCTAGAGAAAGAGTATTGGACAACTACAATCAACTTACCTTGCAGAAATTTAATCAGCTAACTGCGAAACAATATGGACTTGGATTATACCCTCATCGATATTTTCGACTACAAAAGTACACTCATCACCAGGATGAATGCAATTAGCCTTCCTAAATTCTTTCCACCCATTTGCCAAAACCTCAGAGCCTTTTCTCTGATGGTATATAACTGGCCAAAGTCTTTGAAGTGGATCTCGAAGTAATACCAGATTCTGTTCCAAACTATCACCTTGTCTGCATATCTTTAAAGGTAAAGGCTTTGGTAACTCCTGCAGTAGCAATAATGTGTTATGATATATTGCACGACAGGAAGTTAGAGCATAAATATATACTTGTTCATATATACTTCATATTAGTTTTGATATAGGAATGGAAGCAAAGTTCAAAGATTACAAAAGTTTCTCAACTAAACCAAAGTGAAATAACTTAGGGAGCGTTCAGTACACTTGATTCTGAAATCAGGTATGCATAATCCATACATACAGTTGCTTGGTTCAGAAAAATTACACAATTAAAATTAGAATGGTAAACCCTCCAACCCCTCAAGGTATCAACAAATTCCATGTTAGTTTAAGTGAATTTAAAACTTGGTTGTGTACTAGTGTGTAAGATTATGTTTTAATAAGCTTCATTGAAGTCACTTTGAATGATTTGACTGATCTAAGACACAAACTAAACGCCAAAAATAAGTCCAGAACTTTATTGAACTCGGAAAGAATTCCAAAACTTTATAAGTTTATTGCAAGGTCGACAAAGACTTCCATGTTCATCCGTATAAGTAAACATTATGGCAACGAGCAGAAGAAACATTGTAGTAGTAGCAAAGGATCATGAACAATAACAGGAACAGGACAGGACTTAATAATGATCTGTTAGATTTACAAACATTAGAAGTTAATGAAATACTAACGTGAGACTAAGATATGAGGGTTATGAGAAGTCAGCGCTTACAAGGAAAGATTCATTGCCTTGCTGCACTAAACATGTGATTTTGATGTCTTGTGCAGATGGAGTATCACAGAATTCAGGTTCTTCTAGCTTCACAATCATGTCAATACGCCCTTTATTTTTACCCATAGAAGTAGAGTGACTGCCAATGTCTTCTTTCTTAACCTTTTGACCCTTAGTGGTAAACAAGATTTCACTATCCCGCGAAACAATTTTAGCTTCAAGGCCACAAATAATTTTATCAGACTTTGGTTCTGGCTTGTATATCATCAAATCTTTACCTAATCAAGAGAGGAAGTAAATCAGCATCCATTTCGTATAAAGACAGATACATACATTCAAATGTAAGTAATGCCATAACTGTCACAAATAATGATGATAAGGAAAGGAGTGCATAGTTACATACAAGGAGGCTCAACTCACTCAACAGGAGCTGCTGGAGATGAGAATTCAGGTGCATGTGGCAGTGTGACAGATTTCAGCGGCATATAAATGTCTAGAGGCACTTCGGCCCCTGACACAGTATTATTGAGCAGCGGTAAACATTCCTTTCTTGATGCATCTTCTTCATCTATGAAAGAAACAATTGAATAGCTAAAGATGAGCAAGAAGAAACTAAACAACAACAATCCACAAATCAAACTTCAGCTAGGAACTTCTGGAGGAATGTTGCATAAATCCCCTCGTCTTGGAGGTACCAAAACAATCCATTCCAATCCAGGTATAACTGTATCAAGTATAGTTGTGATGATACATATGTGTTCTATCACAATACTTCAAAAGACGATGATGATAAGTTAGATGGTTGTGGTGGTTGGATGTACAGATATTGGTACCTCCAGAAACAAAATTATAATGCATGCTTAAAATATCAATAGATACAAACAAGAGGAACTAACTTGAAGTCTCATTCATAGTTTCAGTTATTTGGAAATTTTCAGGTGAGACCTCTTCGCTTTGATTTTTTTGCAACGCGCTAGGAACTTCAGAACACGTATACTCCATAAGCGTACTTATTTTATCAGCATCAGCTTTATTTCCAGGCATCTCAAAGACGGATAGATCGTATAGATCGATCCTACTGTCTTCACTAGTGCAATTTATGTATTTGTCGCTAATAAACAATGACTCCACCAGAGGATCTGCTGTAGGAACTTCTTCAGGCTGTTTATTGATATTTCCTTCCCTTGAAACATTTACTCTTATCTCAGGCGATTTTTCCACATTATGTACATCAACATTAGGCCCAGTTTCCATGCCAGAATCTAAGCACTTTTTTGCTGGTGTTGATTCCTTATTATGCAGCGAATCACAGGGATCGGTTCTGGTTAATTTAGCTCTCTTGTTCTGATAGTCCATACCACTGTAAATCATTGGCTTCTCACACCCACTTCTACCAAAAATTTGAACAATAAAATTTGATCCCTTGAAATAGTGAAATACCACCAAATCACCCAACTCAATGCCATGATCCACAGAGAAATCATGCCATCCCTTCTCAAATGCAAGAGAGCCATTTACATTAGAAAGATTAACTTTCCATTTTTGCCCTGTTGGATCCTCTAGATAGGTGTATTTGCCTTCCAATGCTATGACAGTTTTGGCAAATCTAGGAGGTACAAACTGCAAATGTAGGGACTATACTGTAATCAAACTGATAAACCCAAAAATGCCGAAAATAGATAAATGCATGTATCAAAACTCAAGGGGAATAGAAAAAGGTAATGTGATCATACCAGTATTTCAGAAAATAGGTTGCCAAACATGACTTTGAAGAATGAGGAAACTATTGGGTAAGGATCATGCATCGTCCTATGGAAAGACGAACAACTACGGGAGCATTCGGCACAAGCCTCCCCTTTGTCACCCATGACTACGTGACTGTAGACTGCAGGACTGACGTCTGCATAAGACGTCATCAACCATCAGATACTCAACAATGTCATAGAAACTACAGGACAGACGGTTAACCAAGTCTGCATAAGACAGTCAGCCATCATAAACGATGTCTGCAGACGGTTAGCCAAGACTGCAGAAGACATTGTTTGATTGTTAAACATCAGAAACTCAACAAATGTCATAGAAACTACTAATAGGACAGACAGTTAGCCAAGTGCAAGTCTGCATAAGACGCCGTCAGCCACCAGAAACTCAGCAATGCCAGAAACTAATTGAACAACAAATCGAGGTGGAACTTCGGTTAATTAGCAACTTAAGCATATACGGAGTACAAACTAACAAAGGATCATCTCCTACAAACATGACATTACTGACATACCATCAGCTAAAAAAAAGAAGTCAGTAATCAGTAAGAAAAACGCATGCATAGAACAGTCAATAAATTGGTTAAACACTTCTCCAACCCACACAACTACGACAAAGATCTAATCCCATCTACATCATTCAAATTTATGACTTACCTAAACACCCCAAATAAGAAAATATGCAAAAAAGAGTCAACTGACTTTACACTTTTCCAGTGAATGAAAAACAAAGAGTGCCAGCAATAAGTATCATTTCCAATTCTAGCAATTGATGTCATTATTATTATTATGGGTAGTATTTTTTATACTTACTACCAGTACCTCAAAATATGCAGTACAAATGTACAATGCAGTAACATGTCAGTTACTGAGTTAATGTAATTACTTTTTACTGCATAAAATCTGCAAAGGAATGCCAAAAGTAGATGTAAAACTAGCACTTCCAACCATATGTATTCAAACCCGTCTCTGAGGAAGGGCGGGAGGGGCGGCAGCCCTGGGCCCAGGGAAAAGAGCTCTGATTTCATAGTTGAATGCTAACATTAAAGTGTTGTGCAATACATTAGCAACCAAATTTGATTCAATTATATCATAATTTTAGGGATATTTGATTCAACTATCTCATAATTTTAGTGATATTTGATATGATGATAACAAATACAAACAACGTACCTAAGAAGCTGCTTCAATGGGGGATACAAGAACTAGATTCAACGGAGAACGGCAACTGCGCTTCAATGGAGAACGTTGAATGCGCGCTTCAGTAGAGCAATTCAATGGGTTGGACGCCTTGGATCCCTATTAAAAGCCATGACCCATGACCCGCCACAGTTATTCATGGGTTAGATCCGTCTAATAAATAAGTGGGTTGAGTCTTTATACGATCGTCCAATTCAGGGGTTGGACAAACCTTTTAAGGGTTTAGAGTAAACCTGGTTTAAAAAGTACGGACTATTAGTTTATTTTTACAATTCCATTTCTCAAATACTATCTTCACACACCAAAAGCTTGTATAATTTGTTTGTAAATTTTTTGTTTTTTTTGTTTTTTTTTTTAATTTTAAAAACGGCTTAAATTACATTAATTAAATTGAGTTTACAACAAACGAAAGGAAAATATAGTAACATAAGTCAGTTACAAGTTATCATGTCTTAAATGTGGTTAGGATGAGTTTTCCTAAAAAAAATGTGGTTAGCATGACTTTTTTGTCGGGACCATTATGGCAAATTAATTGTGTCATGTAAAGTGTGAACTATGCAATTGTATAGGTAGTGTTACCTTTGCGATTTTAACATTAGCTGACGATCACCTACATTTTATTATAAATACAGTTGCAGACTAGCAAGTGTAGAATTGTATGAGTTAGTTAATTATATGAGTTAGTTAGTCATCTGCGTAAAACAGAAAATTATTAGTGAATAACTTTAATAATTAATACTTTTTTTTTTGAAAAAAACCCATTTAGATCAACCGAAGAAATTTCCAAAATGCGATGAGGGATTACATCACTCCACACCCATTGGCCAAACTCCCATGGTTGAAAGTAAGTCAATTTGTGTGCTACATTATTACCCCATTGCTTTACAAAAGACCATGAATATCTAGTAAAATTAGACGAAAATTTAATCTAGAATATCCTTTATAATCAGATGAAAGGAACTGGAGCCATACAAACGCTTCCTCATTGCCTCAATCACCACTAGATTATCACTCTCGATCCCAATGCAGCTCATACCCTTGTGTCTCGCAATCTTCATGCCCCAAAATACCGCTTTCACCTCTGCAATCTTAGTCTCTCATTTTCACTCCACTACACCGTAGCTCCCCAAAGCACCACCCCCTCACTATTCCTACAGACTACACCGAACCTCGTCCCCACCTCCCCTAAAACACCAGCATCAACAATAATTTTAACCACACCAAATGCCGGAGGAGACCTGATTAGGGGATTTTTATCCACCAAGCGCCGTTTGACAAGTGGACCAACCAGGTTCCGCCACGCGTCCTCCACGGACCACTTAAGACACGCCACGTGTCCACCCATGCCAAATGGGACAACCGGCCATCAAGGCCCATTTCAGTCTAGAAGCCCGTTCGGCCCTAGGTTTACCTTAAACCTAGAGAGTTGCACGCTTCCCAAGGCTATAAATACTCGATTAATCCTCATTAATCAGGGGACCGAATAATTTACAGAACACACTAATAACCGGCTGATCTCGCTAGCAAAGCAGATTACCTACATTAAATACTCTCACCTAGAGAGACCTTATTACTTTAATTTCTGTATTAATTACTCCTTAATCAGGTACTAACTTGACCGTTGGAGGCGGAGCTCTCAGGAGTCTCCGTTATTTTGCAGGTACAGGCGTCCGGTTCCAGTCTCGGAATTGTAACTCTCCCGCAGGACATCAGAAAACCCCGAAACATTTGGCGCCGTCTGTGGGGAGAGTACTTCAGAGATGGCATCCAAGTCTGTACCGACCCCAGAAGAGAGGCGTCCCCTAGACGACCCTCAAGTTCAGTCGGACCATGATACCGAAAGTGAATTTGAAGTTGAAACTCATACAGCTCCAGACGGGACCCTAAGGGCCCGCCGTACCCGTCATACTGAAATAAGGGAACGGGAGTATCTTCAAACAGGAAGTGAGCCAGCAGGCGCACCGCTTGCTCGGCAACAGCCGACTGATGGGTCTGCTCCGATCACAAGAAACGAACTCATGACCTTCATGAGGGGATTCAAGGGAGAGATCCAAGAGTTGATCAACAAAAAACCGCCTGCTTCAGTCAAAGAGCAGGCGGCCAAAAAACCTTCCACTTCACTCAAGAGGAAGCCAGTTCAAGGGCGAGAGGCGACTCCCCATCCTAAATCTAAGAAGCGGGAGCCGTCTGCTCTTGATTTCACAAAACTCCGTTATCCTACGGGAAATAGGAAACCGGTTCGTCATATTCAGGCGGACGGGTCAAAGCAAACGTTCACAGATGCTCGGCACCTGCTAGAGCAGAAGAGGAGTGACCGATTATCAGAGTCGGCTTCTACTTCAAATTTTCAGGACAGTTTGCGAAATGCCTCGATGAGGCCAACTCAGTCGTACCATGAGAGTCAGTCAGGCGGCACCTCCCGACAGTCTGGCTTTCATAGTGCGCAGGCGGTACCAAATTTGCCATTTGTGCCGCAACAACAATATTTTATGCAGCCACCTCCATTTGGTGGACCTGCAGCAAAAAACGTCCAACCTATGGACTGGCAGCTACGGCTGCTTAGACTTGGTGAACAGCCGTCGGCCTTCTCCAAGGAAATTACTGAAGCCGCTCAGCCGGCCAAAGTAAAAAATGTTTTAGTAGGCGCCTATGATGGCACTACTAACCCGGAAGACCATCTGATGGCATTCACCAACCTGATGTACCTTCAAGGGTTGGATGATCCCACTTGGTGCAAGTGTTTCCCAGCAACTCTCAAGGGAATTGCACAGCAATGGTTCGGCAACCTGCCGACTGGTTGTGTAAACAGTTTCAGGACGCTTGCTTACTTATTTGCCTCCAACTTTGCAATAAACATCCCTGCGAAGAAAACGACCCTTGATTTGGGAACAATTCAGCAGGGTGAAAAGGAGGGGCTTCGTTCCTACATCAGGCGGTTCAACCTGATGAGAATACAGATTCAAGGGTTACCGGATGAGGTAGCTTATACTGACTTTTTTAGAGGTCTCAAAGACGGGTCTACCTTCAAATTTGATTTAGTTCGAAAAAGGGTGGCGACTCTTCAAGAGGCCTTGATTGAAGCAGAAGCCTATATACAGGCGACTGATCTGTGTACAATGAAACAGTCGGACGGGAGGAGGTTCGACAATAGAGAAGGACGACAGAAACAGTCGTCCAACAAAGATGAAAAAAGAAAAGGGGTCTGGGCGGCTGATTCCTCTAAACAGCCGGCCAAGAAGAAAAAGGAATTCAAACCATACTCCCCAAAGTATGTGTTTAACAAGGATAACCAGTTTATCCTAAAAGAAATAAAGGGACGGCTCTCAATTGAGAAACCGCTCCCCATGAAGGGTTCTGCGAGCAACCGGAACCAAGACAAAATCTGTGCTTATCATGATGACATTGGTCATCACACCAACGACTGCATTAGTCTCATGCGGTACCTAGACCGCTTGGCTGATCAAGGTGATCTTGACACTTATGTCAAGAAATCTACGGGGAATACTTCCTCAAAAAAGCAGTCGGCCAAAAAGAATCAACAGGCCGACAGTTCCGATACTGATGATGCAGTCGTCTACACCATTGCAGGCGGCTTCTCAGGAGGCGGCCCCACTATTAGGGGCAACAAAGATAATATAAGGCGGTTAGATGTAAATTCCGTTCACCAAGAACGACCGTCCAAATATACATTTCCTGAGATTGTCATCACTGAAGAGGATCTAGGAGGAATAAGGGGGCCGCATGACGACCCTCTCGTTATTGAATGTAAAGTGGCCAACCAGAGAGTTGGTCGAATCCTCATAGATACTGGGAGCTCTTCAGATCTCATCAGCAGCAAATGTCTGTCAAAACTGAAATATCAGACGGACTGCATACATCCGGCCTCCCACCCTTTAATAGGGTTTGGAGGAGGAGTCGTCCACCCACTGGGACGAGTTGATCTACCAGTCCGCCTGGGCGAAAAAGGGGAAGGACGACACATGGTAGTCCGATTCCTAGTTGTAGAGGAACTCTCTGCCTACAACATGATTCTGGGTCGCCCAACCCTGAATAGTGCCAAGGCTGTTATAATCCCGTCACTTATGCTGCTTAAGTTTGAAAGGGACAATGGAACAGTCGGCTCCCTAAGGGGAGATCAGAGGATGGCCCGAGAGTGCTATCTCTCGGATGTCAAACCCACTGCTAAGGCCACTGGGTCAAGTGGAGAAAAAACAGACCTTGACAATGTCAAGGAAAGTGCGCCTGTTCAAGAAACAGGCGACAGAAAAAGAAAGGCGTCCCAGACAGAGTCCGCCAGAAAGGCAAGAAAATAGCAATCATTGGCAGAGGACCGGCCGGATGAGTTCCGCCCTCAGCCGGCTGGTGAGCATACGGACCTGATATTAGACGACTCCCGCCCTGACCGAACAGTCAAAGTTGGGACGACTGCTCTGAGAAACCTTGGTGATGACTTTCACAACCTGTTGAAAGAATACAAGGACATCTTTGCATTTGAAGTCCATGAAATGCCAGGCATTAGTCCTGATCTGGCAGTACACAAACTCGCTGTGGATCCGAAAAAGAAGCCGGTACGGCAAAAGAAGCGGAACCATGGTGAAGAAAGAGGTCAGGCGGCCGCCGCCGAAGTCAAAAAATTACTTGATGCAGGGTTCATTCGGCAATGTTACTTCCCAGATTGGGTTGCAAATGTGGTACTTGTTAAAAAGCCGAATGGCACCTGGCGAATGTGTGTAGACTACACAGACTTGAACAAGGCGTGCCCCAAAGACAGTTACCCTCTGCCCAAAATTGATAACCTGGTCGACTCAACAGCCGGCCATGCCTTGATGAGTTTTATGGACGCCTATTCTGGTTTTCATCAAATTCCTTTGTGGAAGAAAGATCAGGAGAAGACGGCCTTCGTCACTGATCAGGGATTATACTGCTATACGGTCATGCCGTTTGGTCTTAAGAATGCCCCGGCTACATTCCAACGAATGATAAACACAGTGTTCTTTGATCAGATTGGGAGAAACGTCGAGGCATACATTGATGATATGATTGTTAAGACTAAACTTCAGAAAGATCATCTGACGGACCTCCGAGAAACTTTCGCCACACTCAGGCGGCACCATGTCATGC